TCGAAAAAAAAAAAAAAGAGAAAGAAATCCAATGTTTTCCTCCTAATAAACTGAATTTTCATAATAGACATTTCGTTTTCTGTCCAAGAACGTGTCTTCACATTCTCTCTTGATATGACACGTATCTTATTCTAGAGCCATGGGCTTCTATGCCCCAGATCCATGATTTCACCATCGGATCAGAATGAGAGCGTCCAGGGTGGAGTTCAGTCCACAGAACATCAAAGAAAGTTAATTTAGTTCCAAGAAATTGATTACATGGTTTACGTACCTGGGCACTGAGTGCTATTCAGAAATCCTGGGTACGTGAGGAAAGTCAAAGCTTTATTTGCCTCTTCAGAACGAAATTCTGCTCCAAGCAGAAACTGGCCAGTCATTTATTTGTGTGAGGCAAATGTAAGAGACGACCTTTCTGGCAAAACTAAAAGTGTTCACATGTGTTGCGCCTGCGGAGAACCTCATCAAACCCTGCTGCTCCCAGAACAAGGTGACTCTGTTCTTGAAGGCCTGCTGTCTGTGGGATGGACAGAAGCCCACACCAACAGTTACACACAACGAGGATAGTGCTACAGAGATGTGCGTAAGGTCCTCTCATAGCTCTCCTGATGACGCTTAGCAACCCTCAGTGTCTATTACCTTCCAGAATATTTGTGCGTGTGTATGCGCGCTCGTGCACATGTGTCAATATGCGTGTGCATGTCTGCGTGCATGTATACAAGTGTGCAAAAGGCAACGGGAGGGCAACCATGTATGTTCTTCCTTAACTGCTGTACATTTCTTTTTTTTTTTCTTGAGTCAGGGTCTCTTAGTAGTTTGGAACTCACCATGTAAGTTAGACTTGCTGTCCAGCAAACCCCCAAGGATCCCTTGTTTCCACTTCTCCAGTTGTAGGATTACAGCTTGTACCATCGTGTGTGTGTGTGTGTGTGTGTGTATGGGGATTGGATCTGAAAATCAAACTCAAGTCATCATGCTTGAAAGACAAGTACTTCACCCACAGCCATTGTCCCTGGTCCCTTCCAGAACATTCTTAATCTTGAACACCTAAAGAAAGCTGTGACTTTCTTACTGTCACCAGAGTCAGCATTTCCTAAAAAATGTGACTATGTTCAACCCAGCAGTCATGCTCAGCAGTGACTGGGTCACACACAAGTGCACGTTTGTCATTTTAATAGTGAGACATTAATCTAGCTACCTCCTAGGAAGAGAGGAACTCTTCGTGTGTGATGATGATACAGTTTTCTCCCTAAGTAAATTCAGCTTCAACACGGGGTTGATGTCAAGAATGTAAGCACCTGAGGTGCCCAGCCATGGGGAAATAGTGCAGGCAGCGTCCAAGTGCAGACGCTTACACACGGGGAAGCTCCCGCAGTCAGCAGCAGCTCCTCACCTAGATCACCGTCTCCTGTGCTGGCACTCTGAGGCAAGATCACTGGCTCCTATGCTGGCACGCTGAGCTCTTTCTTTGAGTCACTTTATGTGGATTTAGTCTTCAACTTCCTCAGAGCTGTTGGTCTTAACCTTTGATGGCTACTTGGGCCCCTTCTCATCACTTCCTGGTCTCTGGCTATTTCCTCCAGAGGCCGTAGCCAGAGGAAAAGCCTTTCCTGTGATCCTCTTAGAGCTTGGATTCCAAGTGGTTCACAACCCTTCTAACCTCAATCTTGCTGCGACTCTTCAATACAGCTCCTCATGCTGTGGTGATCTCCAGCCATAAAATTATTTTCTTTGCTATTTCATAACTGTAACTCTTCTACAGTTATGAATGGAATGTAAATATCTGTATTTTGTGAAAGGGTCATTCGACACCCCTACCACCAGGATCATCACTGGAGTGAAGGTTTTTGTTGTCATTTACCATTTTCTCCATCAATCTGGTCGCCAGTGTCCCTTCAGCTGCAAAACACAACAACAAAATCTAATAACTAGCAGCTTTGCCAGGACTCTCTTCAGAACTGTTCTCACGTTGGGAAGAACATTTTCTTCTCAGCCTCAGCTTTTGAATCTACAACAGCTGTTCATTGAACCATGAGGCTGGCGGAAAAGGAGGGACTTCAGCCCCTTCGCCGGGCCCATCCTTCACGCTCACCAGGGTGAGAGTCCTCTACGTAAACTCTCCCTCAGACACCAGTCACCACCTCTGCCAGAGTACTTACTGTACTACGTCACTCTTCACTGTTCACAGGCCTCCTTCTTGTCCTCTGGGGGCAGTGGTTGCCCTTGTTGATTGGCATGTGTCAAGCTCTGGTCTAGGATCCGGGGAGGAGGCAGGGAAGGACCAGGACATGTCTCTTCCTCACGTATGACTTTGCACTGCTCACAGATCTACTAATTAGCTACCACTGTATGACAATTTTGTCCCAAAACTTGAGAGGATAAAACAAATAGACACTACTACACACATTTTTCTGAGGAAGCCGTGGTATGCAAAGAAGGTCCTGAATCTGCCATCTTTTTGAAGATAAAGATTTTGCTCAAAAATATGCTCCTATACTTGGTCTTAGCCAAAAAGGCCAAGCAACAATAAAAATACACTTCTCTATGGTTTGAGGAGATGGCTCAGTCAGTAAAGTGCTTGCTGCATGAGCGTGGGGACCTGAGCTTGACCCCTTCAACCCGTGTCAGAAACTAGACTTGACAGCGCGTGCACACCGACAGTTCCATCACAGACAGGAGGACACCTCTAGCTCACTGGCCTGTCAGTCTAGCCAAAAGGGTGAATTCCAGATTCAGTGAGAGACCTGTCTCAAAAAATAAAATGGAGCATTGCGGCAATCAAAGTTGACCTCTGGCGCGCACACACACACAAACAACAGGCCAACAACAGCAAAAGCTCCTCCATTTATTAGTCTTTGTCTTAATTTCTTTTTCCTTCCCTGGAGGTTATATTCTCTAAGCATCATGCCATGGTGCTCTCGTTCTGCTTGTTCAAACATTTTTGGAAGTGTTATGTCTGAAGCCGTCCGTATTCTGCTCAATCTGAAAATGCTTTCTTCATTTAGGAAGGGATTAAGGCTTCTAAGATAACAGGAAAGTGGCTTCTTTTTTTCCAGGCCAAAAAAAAAAGAGTGCTACTGTGCAGTGTGTAGACGCTCTCCTGTGGCAAGCTAGCAATAAGCACACAAATGGCAGTGGTTAGACTTGACTTACATGGCTGTGAGCTCCTCCTGTCTGTTCTGAGACTCAGGGAAGAGAGGCCCTGAGGAGGACAGATGGAACCCCCACTGTGATAATGAGAGTTAGCATGTGTATAGCATTATACCATGCTATGCCTACTGCCCTGGCTATGCCAGGGGGCAGGCTTTCCTCTGTCACAGGGCAGTAAGACAACGAGTGGCTCTCCCCAGAAGTGTTCCCAGAGCCTAGACACGCAGGAGTAAAACCAGCTGAATCCTCGTACGCAAAGAGATGGAAAATTCTAGAAAGATAACTCCAGGGAAGTTAGATGTATAATGGTTAATCTTGATTACTGGCTTCATCAGGTTTTAGAATCACCATAAGAACGCCCCTCTGGGTGTACCTGTGAGGGTCTTTCCAGGAAAGTTTGGCTGACGAGGGAAGATCTACCCTGAAAATCGGCGGCAGCATCCTATGGGTTAGAAGTCCAGCGCTGAATAAGGAAGGAGAAAGTGAGCTGAGCACCTCATTCATCTCTCTCTGCTTCCTGACTGCGGATGCCGTGTGATGTCACGAGGCAATAGGGACAACGTGCTTGAACCAAACAGCAGCTTCTCTCCTCGTCGCTCTGTTCAGGGATTTTATTACAGCCACGGCAGACCCAGCTAATACTTCAGGCACTCAGTCAGATGACTTTGGGATGTGAGCCCAAAGAAGACGGACGCGCAGTCCGTAAGGCCCACGACAACATCCTGTTTGCACAGGATGAGGGTACTATGATTTTTCGTAAATTTAAATCCAAGTTTGCAAGCTGGTGATCGGAGTTGGCTTCCAAACGTGTTTTATTTCTGCCCCTCCACTGCATTTAGTTTTTAATTAGTTGCCAACATTAAAAATAAAGTCTCAGGCAGAGCCTGTTAGCACAGTGATTCTCAACCTGTGGGTCTTGGCCTCCCCAGGAGTTACAAAACAGGAATCCTGCATATCTGATATCTATGTTATGATTCATAATGGTAGCAAATTTACAGTTATGAAGTAGCAACGAAATGATTTTATGGTTGGGGTCACCACAACATGAGGAACTGCATTAAAGGGTTGCAGCATGTCTCAAAAATTCTAGGTCTTACATAGTCCTCTCTACTCTGTTTTTGTTTGTTTGTTTGGTTGGTTGTTTTTTTGTTTTTTTTTTTTGTTTTTTTTTTTTTGAGAAAGAGTTTCACTGTGTAACAGCCTTTGCTGTCCTGGACTGGCTCCTAGACCAGGCTGACCTCGAACTCACAGAGATCCACCTGCCTCCGCCTTCCAAATGTTGAGATTAAAGGCATGCACCACCGTGGCTGGCTTGCAAGTCCTATTGCTTTAAAATCATTATTAGCACCCATGTACACAAGCATACATGATGTATGTGTGGCTACACACGACCCAGCGCACTGTGGAGGCCAGAGGAAAACTCTGCGGAGTCAGTTCTCTCTTTCCACTTTCCTGGGGGCTGTGGGGATCGAAGCCATCAAGCATCTTTACCCACTTGGCCACCTTGTGAGCCCAGCAATTCCTATTTTAACCTTTCTCCATATTCCCTGAATCACGCGAGATAATGACTCTTTGGTAAACAATGCATATTAAAGCCTATTTCAGTATGTTTCTGTGACTTGGAGATGGGTTCATGGTGACTGTGGCACAAGCCTGTTTGGGTTATTCACAGAGGGTGTGTGGAGAACAAAAAGCTGAACAGCTTGTGATGGTCCTAGAAAGTTCCTAACTGAGGTGGCTGGATTACAGATGTGCAGAAGGCCGTAAACATCTGTACACAAGATGCAGAGGTGAGACCTCAAGAGAAAGACAGCTCACGGTTGTTTTCATTTCTGTCCCATTTCTCCTCTCAGGTCCGTGTCACAAACGGCGGGCAGGTGGCTGCTGTACACAGCTGGGCTCCCTGTCAGCGCTGAAGCATGCGGTTTTGGGGCTCTATCTTCTGGTCTTCCTGATTCTTGTGGGTATCTTCATCTTAGCAGGTAAGAGCAGCCTTTTTCTGACCTGGCTTTTGGGGGATGGGAGAGAAAGACTCTCAGAGCCTCTGCTCCCCATTCCTATAGTCATAAGCCCAAGTGCTGCTTTTGTTGCTATGGAAACCACAGAGAGAGGTGCTGGCTGGTCTTTCTGACTGGACCATGGATCTTCAGTAGCATTGCCTGTATTCGTGTGAGGGTGTGGAACATCTGAAGCCAGTAGGAACAGATCCAGTTTCCCAGGGTGGCTTCCCTGCATCATCATGGGGCATATGCCTTACTCCAGGCCTCTCCAACCTCTGGGCTACAGTGTGTACTGAGCAGGCTGGGGTTTATCTTTGCTCTTAGCCTGGGACATCTTCAAAATAGTCACCTAGTCCTTTGCTGCTGAGGTTAATCATGGTTGGGAAAGCCTGCTTCCCTTTGCAGTTACAAGGAACTAGAATAGATTCTATCTCAATTCAACCAGGTTCTTCCTCCATGTTTGTTTATGAGATGGGCCTCTTTGATGGGTGGGGTGTGGGGGAGGAGGGAGCACCTCCTGTAGCCAGGTCAAGGCAGAGCTGGAAAATTTAGAAAAGGATCTGGGAGTGGTGGCGTACGCCTTTGATCCCAGCACTCAGGAGGCAGGGCCAGGTGGATGTCTGTGAGTTCAAAGCCAGCCAGGTCTACAGAGAGAGCGTTCCAGAGCAGCCAAGGTTATATGAAGAGATATTGTCAGAAAGAAAGGTAGGAAGGAAGAGAGGGAGGGAGGGAGGGAGGGAGTGAGGAAGAGAGAGAGAGAGAGAAAGAAAGAAAGAAAGAAGAGGAAAGAAGAGACAGGAAAGGGATCCAATGGGAACCCGTTGGCCTTGTGCTCCCAGTAGCCCAGTTTTCCACTTGCAGTTCATCACTCTATGATGGGCCTAGTAGAGCCAGACTCTGGCAGTCTCTTCTTGTTCTCTTCTAAATGGAGACACAGACAGTTTGGCAAAGTAAGCCAAAGGTGCTGTCTGTCACACGAGAACCTACCTTGTGACCAGCTCTGTGCTAGGACTGAGACACAGCTAAATAAGAGCCAGGGATTTTCTGAAGGAGTTTCCACTCTGGAGGCTGATCCAGGGTTAGGCGACTAAAGCCCAGTGAAGCAGAAGTGCAGTGGGCACTGGGTTAGGGGGTACATAGGGGCTGAAGCTGCACTCTGGGAAAACGGCTGTGGCTTGAAGGAGGGTGGGGTCATTTGGATGAGACTGCTGTCCAGGCAGAGCTGACTTGGAGTGCTCAGGGTGGGGTCCCCGAGTTAACTAGAGGGCAAGCCTCTGGAGGTCCAGCCTTTGCAGATGACCCTTTGCGGAAACCCTGAGACAGATGCCCAGGACCTCCCTGATCTTGACTCACTCCCCATCAAGTGGGACAAGCCACTTGGGTATTGTAATGGGATAGTTGGTGTTGCCTGTGCCTTCAGGTTTCCATACTCAGGCTATCAGGGGTGGTTCCTGTCTCACCAAGCACTGCACTGAGGGATGGCCAACAGCAACACTGAGAGAAACTCATGATTCATCCCAGGGACTAAACGATGGTGTTCAGCAAGGTCTACCACGGGCCAAGCCAGCCAGGGGATGATTTGAACATGTTCTTGGGCTGCTCGGTGAGAGCTTGGCATCCGGGTTTTGTGGTTTTGGCTTCCAGGACCATAACAAATTTCTGGAATGTTTGGAAAGTCTTTCAGCCCAGCAGGGAAACCATGGTGTTACAACTGCTCAGAACAGGAACTTTTAGGTGACCAAAGTGGGTTTCTAGGAGAGGGACAAGGGAGGAGAAGGAACCCAGGAAAGAACTCTGGAGGCTGAGGGTGGGAGTGGAAGGATACCATCTCATCTCAAGAGAAGCATGCAGGGGAGGAGAGTTCTCTTCTGATATCTGAAGGGCTGCACAAGGAAAAGGGTAGACGGGTTCTATTTGAGTCGTGGGTGGAACTGAGACCAAAGGTGGATAAAGATGGATGTCCATTCAGAACAGGGACGCAGAGCTAGCTGTGCATCGTGACAAAGAGAGGCTCTCTTGGCTTAGTGGCTGGACAGGATTTATGATGACATCCTGGAAGCTTCAGAGAAGAGGGTGGGATGTGGTTTCCCAATCCCCTGAAACTGCCGCCAGGCTGCTCAAGTTGTTCAAACTGAGCAGGGTTTGGGGGTTATTCTTGTCACCTTTGAACCTGTATGTTTTGGAGTAATGCCTGTGTGCAATGAAAAACGAGTGGGTTGGAACTCAGTCTTTTGGCTTCTGAGGATGTGGCCACTGTCACCTCCCCTAGGTTCTTGTTGGCCTCTGGGAGAGGTGTCACGAGAGAAGCCCATGGAAGTGCAGGCAACACTAGTCACTCCCATCAGAAGGAAAATGCAGCACTGAGCACAGTTCCTTGAAGAGACTTTTCCCAGTCTTAGGAAAGAGGGTTTTTTGATCACCTGACTGAATACTCCCGAGGATGCTTCTTCCTAGCAAATACCAAGATGGCGGGGAATGGAGAAGGTGGTTCAGGGGGACCCACAGTCTGCCTGCCTGGCTGCCTCCAGGGTTCTCATTGTAGATGCTTCATCTTGGGTAGAACTTGCCATCCAAACCCAACATGTTATCCTTTACTGTAGCCCAGGCTGGACTAGAATTCACTATGTAGCCCAAGTTGGCTTCAAATTCTTGGCAGTCCTCTATCTCGGCCTCCTGAGTACTGGGGTGATAGGCATATGATACCACACTTGGCTTTAACTCTTTCTTAGCAGCCATAGTAGACCATTGCTATCATCATCTTCAATCATGGGAATAAAAAGGTGTGGGGGGTGTTTGCTGCTCAGGGTGAGGTTAAAGTCTCTCTCTCTTTCTCTTTCTCTCACGCACACACACACACAATGTAGCTTATGCTACCTAGCAAATTATGCAAAAAAAAAAAAAAAAAAAAAAAAAGAGTGCCCCATTCCCCAAAGTGGGATCTTTGGAGTCCTCAGCCTAGGGGACAGCTGGCCAAGTGTCATTTGAACTGAGTGCTCACTTTTCAGTCACTTTGCTTCAAGCGAGTTGGTCCTGAAACCTGCTCTCAGAGCACACATCTGTGCTGTACATTCTGATCCCATCATGCATCTTGGCGGTCAGTGTGTGACAGCACCCGTCTTTATTAAGACACGCCTGTGACGTCCCACCCTGCATTTGTGGCAACTGTCAGGGACATGGCTGATTGTGTTTCAGCATCCTGATTCTGAGGATGGCTGAGAGAGTTTTCCTTCCTCGGTTGCAGAAGGAGGCGTGCGGGCGTGAGGAGTCAGTCGGCTTTCTCCCTGAGGAGGCTGTGAATCTTACGTCATTAAAGTCACTTTTGAGGAAGCAATTAACACGGCCAGAGTGAGCTGTCACACTGTTGTATGGGAACAGAGAGAAGACCTGTAGCAAGTGCAGAGACCACAGGGAAAGGGTTTTTTTTTTTTTTTTTTCGGGGGGGCATCTCATTTGGGCTCCATTTGGAGCCTTCACATTTGCCTTTCCTAGCCCCGTTCTTGCCTACTTCCATCTCGGTGTATTTCAGTCTCCTCCACCAACAGCCTTGACACCTTTTAGAACAAAGACAGCTGTTGTACTTAGTTTTTTGCCTTGCAGTTTTTTCATCTATCTGGTTTGATTCTTCAAGTGCATATTTTCAAATGTGTGAGTGGATGAGTAAGCGAATGAACGAGACAACCTTGGAAAAACACTTATGTGGGGAGGGAAGATGGTTATTTTCATCTTAATCAAGTATCTAAAAGATATGAATATGGAATTTCCCTTCAAGAACATTTGGCTGGGAGACTTAGAGTTACTCAGCTGAGGATATGAACACATATTCATCTTAGTACATGCTGACTCTATTGTCTTCAGAGTGAGTATTAAGACAGAAAGGGCTGTGTAGTTCACACTGGCATGAGTCTGGACCTGAGAGCCAGCCCATCTGGGCTTGAAATCTAGCTTCTTCACTGCCGTGGGATGATGGCCACGTCATCTGACCTTTCTGTACTATGGTCCTTATGTTGAAAACAGAGGAAACTGGCATTTCTGCATGCCAAACTGGATTGCTGTGAGGGGTAAGTGGTCAATATATCGAAAGCACCTAGGAAAGCAGCTGGCACCCAGCAAACAAAGTCGGGAGTGGAGCTGGTACTATTGCTGTCATTGATAATGCCATTCTTTCTTGGTGTCCTTTGCAGTCACCTGAGCTGAATGATGGAGACTGAAAATTAGTTTTGGCTCATCTGTCAATATCCCGTATTCTCGGAGTGTCTCTCCAATACATGGATATTAGACTATTCATTGGAAAATCAGCCGGATAGATATGACCAGGTTGTCATATCTTTACTTCTTTTTGGTTTTTTCCTCCCTTATATTTTTTCTTCTTTCCTTCCTTCTTTCTTTCTTTCTTTCCTCCTTCCTTTCTTTTCTTTCTCTCTTTTTTTCTTGTTTTTACCATGACCTTAGGTATAGTTTACATCATAGCCAGCACCCAAACACAAACCTAATACTGAAATGTCTGATGGTTTTCTGTCCTAATCCACTCAATTTTTTAAACTCTTTAAAATAGTCCCAACCCAGTCATTTGTTTCATAATCTGAATGGAACACAGCCATAGTTTAAAAAATAATGGGTCAAATGACAGCTTTATTTTTCTCTGTGTCTTTCACATATTGTAAAAAGAGTGCCGTTCCCACTAGACTCTGAGGCCAAACTTGTGGTTTAACTCCAGGCTCCATCATTGAGTGTCATCTTGGGGGGTAAGAAGAGTAACCTTTAAATATTTCCTATTTTCTCATTTATAAAGTAGTGCACACCCCGGTAGGATCACTGTAAATATTAAACAAATTAATACGTGAAAACTCTTAGTTCTTGGAACAGGAAGGGAACTTGGTGACCGTTAGATTATTCTTATTAACACACGTGGAGGTATTTTGCTCTGAGAATAGCAGAGGATTATGGTTTAGCCTGAGCACTGTGACTGTCTGCAGATAGAGCTG